CCAATAGAAATACTCCAGGTGGACACCTTCAGCAATCAGGAGCTCCTCAGTTGCTCATAGCAAATCCCACCTTGGAGTTTACAAAGACTTATGGGTAGAAAAGCCACACAAAGTAATTTACTATACCACACTAAGCAAGTACTGTTTTAAGCACAGTTTCAATGCATGACACCTATTAACTGAATGCCCAATTCTATGAGGAAAATACTATTGTTGTTGTTATTGTTATTTTTGTTAGGTGCTGTCAAGTCACCTCCAACTCTTAGCAACCCTATGCACAACAGAATGAAACACTGCCAGGCCGACCCTGTGCCAGTGTCACCATCCCTGGGCCCATCATTGCAGCCACTGTGTCAGTCCATCTTGTTGAGGGCGGTGATAGTTAAGTTTGTGGGTCAACTTGTCTGGGCCTGGTTAAGTGGCTGGATGTAGTTGTTACCCATAGTGAGATTGGTAATGACCTCCGTGGTACAACCTTTTTGAGCACCTGAGTAGCTGCTTTAGAAATCTGATCTGCTTCCATATATAAGCAGCAGCTTTGTGAATGGTCTCTAGTCTTTTAGCATGCTTGAACCCTGCATGTAGCCAAGTCGTTGTTCAACAGCCTGCCATTCCCAGCCGATCTTGAGACTTCATCTGGACTTAAATTAGTGGACTGCCATGTTGTTTGGTAACATTGGGACTGTGCCTTTTTACTTGACAACCTTGGGCTTGTCAGACTCAGCAGCCAGAAGCTGTCTGAGTGAAGAAAAGCCTCCAGCTTCAGTGGTCTGGGAGCAAGAAGCAGAGCTGAAGCCCAAGGTTGAGGGGCTTTCACCAGCCATTAGAGCCCTCCACTTTGAACTCGGACTTAAAGCCTCCAAAATTTAAGAGAATAAACTCCTATTTGTTAAAACCATCCCATTCATGGCATTTCTGTTAGAGAGGCACTAGGTAACCAAAACAAGGGCCTTCCCCACTTTTGTTGACCCTCCACTTTACCAAGCATGATATCCTTCTCCAGGGAATGGTCCCTTCCAACATGTCCAAAGATGAGACAGAGTCTGGCCATTCTCGCTTCCAAGGAGCATTCTGGCTGCACTTCTTCCAGGACAGATTTGTTAGTTCTTTCTTTTGGTATTTGTCGCCGACACCACAACTCAAAAGCATCAACTCTTCTTCGGTCTTCCTTATTCTTTGTCCAGGTCTCACATGCATATGAGGCAATTGAAAATACCGTGGCTTGGGTTAGACACACCTCAGTCCTCAAGGAGACATTTTTGCTCTTCAGCACTTGAAAAAGGTCTTTTGCAGCAGATTTGCCCAGTGCAATATGTTGTCTGATTTCTTGACTGCTGCTTCTATTGGTGTTGATTGCAGAACCAAGTAATATGAAGTCTTTGACAACTTCAATCTTTTTTCTATTTACTGTGATACTGCTTATTGGTCCAGTTATGAGGATTTTTGTTTTCTTTATATTGAGGTGTAAGCCATACCACAGACTGTAGTCTCCAGTCTTCATCAGTAAGTCATCTCACTTTCAGCAAGCAAACTTGTGTTGTCTGTGTATTATAAGTTAATGAGTTTTCCTCCAATCCTAATGTCATGTTCTTCTTCATATAGTCCACCTTCTCAGGTTATCTGCTCAGCATTACAGATTGAACAAGTGTGGTGAAAGGATACAACCTTGATGTACTCCCATCCTGACTTTAAACCATGTAGTATCCCCTTGTTCTGTTTGAATGACAGCCTCCTGGTCTATGTACAGGTTCCTCATGAGTACAATTAAATGTTCTGGAATTCCCATTCTTCTCAATGTTATCCATAATTTGTTGTGATCCACACAATTGAATGCTTTTGCATAGTTAATAAAACACAAGTAAACATCTTTCTGGTACCAGAAAATATTATTACAATGTCCATTTTGCAGATATGGAGACTGAGATCCCACCTGACCTGCAGCACTCAATTTCCCGATTTTACACTGGTTTTTATACAAGGAAAGGTACCCAACTAAAGCAGACTCAGGATAGGATGTCTTGGAGAATTTATAACTCTTAGATAGCATGAGCTCTGAAATATCAGAAAAAGCACCAGCCAAAGCACAAGGAATGTAATTGTAAACAATGTGTACAGTGGTAGCAGTACACTTGATGAATATCAGCCCTGGCTCTGTGGCTGCTTCCTACTCACTGTAGGGTAAAATAAATGAAAAGATCCACAAGGTTCTGTGATTCTTATTGTCAAATATTACTTGAAAATCCCTTTAGGAGGGGTCGCTATGAGTCAGATCCAACTCCATGCCAGTGGTCACATTTGTGTTTGCGTTTTGTAAATGGTATTGATTTCCTTATGTCTTTTTCATCAGTCTCTTTGCTGGTGTAGAGGAATCCAACTGATTTTTCGATGTTGATCTTGTATCCTGCCACTATGCTAAATCTCTCAATTAGTTCCAGTCGATTTTTGACTGAGTATCTTTGGTTTTCTGGGTATATAGGATCATATCATCAGCAAATAGGGATAGTTTTACGTTTTCCTTCCTTGCCAATTTGGATGCCTTTGATTTCCCTTTCTTGCCTTATTGCCCTGGCTAGGACTTCCAGTACAATGTTGAGTAGAAGTGGTGATAGAGGGCATCCTTGTGTGGTTCCTGTTTGCAAGAGGAATGGTTTCAGTCTCTCTCCATTGAGAATAATATTGGCTGTTGGTTTTGCATATGTCCTTTATTATGTTGAGGAATGTCCCTTCTATTCCTATTTTGTGGACAGTTTTGATCAGAAATGGGTTTGGATTTTATCAAATGCCTTTTCTACATCGATTGGTATTATCATGTTTCTTTTCCTTTGTTTCCTTTATGTAATGGATGATGTTGATTGTTTTTCTAATGTTGAACCATCCTTGCATACTTGATATGAGCTCCACTTGATCATAATGAATTATTTTTTTGATACATTATTGGAGTCTTTTTTTTTTTTATTGTGTACTTTTTTGGTTATTTAGAGTATACACTTTTAAGCCTCACCTAGTGGAAATAGAAGATATTTTTATTTTTTCTTTCCTGAAAATCTGCAGAGCAGATGTTTTGAGTCTTTTTTTTTTTTTTTTTTTGCCAGGTGAATATCTCAGTATGGTGTTGGCAGGACTTCCTAAGGCATTCCCTAAGGTGGATATTTACATAGATTTCTAAACCTAGGGATTCTTGTTGTCTTCAAAGGAGATTTAAAGAATTTGCTTTAGAATGATGTACTTCCTATTTTAATCAGGTACAGTAAAAAGATAGTGACATTTTTGATAATGGGAAAAAAATAATATAGCCCTCCCTTTCAAAGTAGATTTGTTTAGAAAAATTATATTCAGGAAGTTAAGTTTTTCCAGTTACAGATTTTAAATTTGTTAGATTAAGAATGCAGTAAATCCCTGGTTACAGATTTCTAATTTATGGGCAACTTGTACTTGCCCTTTAATGTTTTGTTAATTTGCCCTCACTTTGAAACAATTGAACCACCCCCTCCCTAGCACAACAAATTCTTCATCACAGTTGCCTTTACTTGCTTAATTTATAGATTTTAGGTCACTGAAAAGCTTTCTTAGCTTTTTCTTGCACTAAGAGCCACTGCCTTGGAGTTAATTCCAACTCATAGCAACCCCCACAGGGTTTCCAAGGCTGTAAATCTTTACAGAAACAGACTGTCTTGTCTTTCTTCTGCAGAGCAGCTGGTGGGTTTGAACTGCTAACCTTTTGGTTAGCACCCCAATGCCTTAACCACAGCACCACCAGAGCTGTTTTTCTTGAACTAAAGTAAAGCTAAAAAAGAACCACATGTACCTGTTCTGACTCACCTACAAATTTGACTTAAAGACTACTTTGGAAGGAATGCCATTTGTAACCCAGGGACTACCTATAAATAATAAACTTTTCTTAATCTGTGTTTATGACAATCTGTAAAAGCTTATATAAATGAATAGAGAAACTCTGTACTCAAGAAAAAAAAAAAAAGGAATATAAGGCCTTCTTAAAAGATTAATTCATTGGGAAAATTTTTATGAGTGTTCCCAATATCTGTCTTGACTGTACTAAGTTCTGTGAAGTAGAAAGATGAAAGATACATGCCCTCAGGTGATTCATAGTCTAGTGAAAGAGACATTTAGACAAAAAAAAAAAAAAAAAAAAAATTATAGTACAGCAAGATCTGCAGCAGAAGTGTGCACAGGATTCTAAGGAAGTGATAATTACAGGTATAATCTGATTAAGGGAGAACTGCTGAGAGTGGTTAAATCAGCTATTGTGGTAAAAGCCCATATTCTGATAGTTTTTTATTGTTTTTAGACTCTGGTACATAAGCCCTATAAGCCTTCCCTGGAATTAACATATAGTTTCAGTATACTTCTTTGCTTTTCTGGTCTTTAAGCCCTTTCTGTTAGAGGGCAGACTCTTGAGCCATGCTTCCTGGTACAAGTCTCCAGTAAGCAGAGAACTCTCACTGGTTTTGTGACCACAATAAACAGGATTGTTATTTCTCTGTGCTTCTGTTTTATTAATTTATTTTTTCAAAAAGGGATATTAATAATACATACTTCACAGAATTATTATGAGGATTAAATGATATAATACATGGAAGACACTTTTAGACTACTGCCTGACACACAGTAAAGGTCCAAAAATTTAGCTGCTATTATTCGTTTTGGTGCTTAATAAACCAGACACAATGAAACTCATTCACCATGTTCATCATTTAGATTCTCTTTCTGAAATACCAGTTACTACTAATTTCTCTCAAATAAAATTTTCCTTTTTTTCCCTTTCTAGCTCCAAGAGGAAAGCGAGGATGGAAAACCTTTTATGCTGTATTGAAGGGAACTGTTCTTTACTTGCAAAAGGTAAAATAACTTTAAAAAAAAAAAAACTATAGAACTTTATGAAACCATAATTAAACATGGTACCCAAGGAAACATTGAAACATTTATTATATGCAAAGGCTACATCAGATACCCAAGAGACTGTTTAATTGATGTTTAAACTATTTTTTAGATTTATTTTTCTTTTTTGGTAGAAAAGAAGTATCTTTCAGTATAGCTGATTAGAGAAATGGCTGGGTGTGTTCTAATTAGATCCAATATTTTTTATGAACATAATTGGTAAGTTAGACTTCACATGGTCTGTACAGATACAGACCTGTGGCAGTCCCTGAGTTTGGAGCTCTGGTGGTGTAGTGCCTAAGGCATTTGACTGCTAACCAGAAGGCTGGCAGTTCAAACCCACCAGCCACTCCTCGGAAGGAAGGTTGGGCAGTCTACTTCCATAGAGATACTGCCTCAAAAACCCAAAAAGGGGTTACTATGAGTCAGATCCGACTTGATGGCAAAGAGGTTTTTTTTTTTTTTTTTTAATAGAGCATGTAGATGTATCGTGGTAGATCTGTAGATCATGTAGTGGCTCTGGTGGTGTAGTGATTAAGGCAATTTGGCCGCTAATCAGAAGGCTGGAGGTTCAAACCCACCAGTCACTCCTCAGAAGGAAGACTGGACAATCTACTTCTTTAGAAATGCCGCCTCGGAAACCCAAGGAGGGGTCGCCATGAGTCAGGATTGATTCAACGGCAGTGAGTTTGTTCTTTTTTCTGGTTTATAGATCATGTAGCTGTATCTTTCATTTATATTATTTAACTATTTGGAACCTACCTAAAAATAACTCATGTATTTCTATTCAAGTTCTTAAGTGATTATACTTAAACACAAACTGAAAATTACCTAAATAAGATTTTGAACCAGACTATTCCCTGTCAAGATCCTTTCTTCCAATCCTGAAACCTGGAAATCGGTTTCATATACAGTTTATAGGTTCCGAGCCTTTGAAAGGTGGTCCCTGGAGCTTGTTCACTAGAGTGAAGTATACTACTTTGCAGGGCCCAACAGTATTCTAGCTTCCACTGTGAAGGAAGGGCACACTGTTCAGGCTGATAGTAATTACACTGCCCTCAGTAATGTCTAATAAATGATGTTTTAATATCTTTGGAATCACACTGTAATAAAGTTTTAGCATCTTTCTCATGTAACTCAAAAGTTTTTTATTTATTTCTTTTTTGTCAGTTTGGTGTCTGGTAACACTAAAATGGTATGTTGTTATGGTTTTTTTTTTTTCCTTCTTGTTTCCTTATATGATTTATGAAAGCATTTATTTTTAAATGAATACTATATAACTTACCTTTTCCTCCATTTTTAGACAATTCTCTTTATGGTTATTGACAGTTATACATTAACAGTACCTTTGTATTTGTGCACATGTCTGTTTATTTCCTTAAGATAGATTTCTGGGAGTGTCATGAGTTACAGGGTAAGAACTGACTAAAATTCTTAAAGCATATTTCTAAAGTACTTCTAGGAACTTTGTACCAATTTTCATTCCCTGAGTTATAACAATAAGTATTTTCACCAAGCAAGCAGTTGGTGACAGTATTTCTCTCACCACAACCTTTCTTTACCATTTTAATTATCCATATAGGCGAACATAAGGAAGCTTTGTAAGGAATATTTTTATAATACTACTTTCTCTTTATCAGAACTTTTTTAGTTGTCTAGATTGAGAAGGACTATATCTAATACTACCACCTCAGTAACCCAAGGAAGGGTAACTATGAGTCAGGTCTGACTTGATGGCACATAACAACATATCTAATACAGACCTTTTGTTGTCTCTCTTTTGTAATAGATCAGGCAAGGAATGTCAGACCATGGGATGCTTCATGTTGAGTCAGAGCTGTCTTATATGGGTAAATAGCCTTAACAGAGAGAACTGTGGATTTGACTGAAACCAAGAGAGCCCAAAGAAAATGACGTTCTTCTAAAATTTGCACATTACTTTATAAGGACAAAGGAGGAAATGAAGAATATGTTGATATTAGGAGACTGTGTTTCTAGGTGGCCAGATAATCTTATATTGACTTTATTTCCCTGTGGAGTCAGCCCAGCTTTTAATTCATAAGTCAACTGCATTGGCTTTCTGCTAAAGCAGCATGTGTGTACATGCTGGCCCCACACTGGTATTTCAGCTAGCTTTGTCTCTGCTGGGAATAACCCTTTGAAATAAAATTTCACCTATCAACAATGGTTTCCCCAGCATAAACCCCATTCTCTTAGCTTACATTTTCATTTTCTTTCAAATCTCCATAAGGGGTGCAGCTGTCTTTAGCAGAAGCATTTCATTGAACACCTAACCACAGGATTTCCACCTACAGGATTTCCATCCCAGGCTGGGCCTGGGAAGAGAGGAAAAGTACTCTTGTTTTCAACATTTGACAGTGGATGGAGAGAGAGAGATGCTGTTTGCAGCCCCTAGCCATGTCTGTCTCATTGTTCTCTCCCTCAGATGAGTGTAATGATATGAGTTTGACTCATACAGATGTAGAAGAGAAGGGACTAAATACCAACAAGAGAATGACTTTGTAAAGTTTGAAGCATCAACATCCATTTGGATTAGAGCTGGAAAATTAGATTATATCTCCAGATTTATGGTACCTCTGGAGCATGGCAAATGTGCATTTGGGGGAAAGTTCAGTGAAATTCCTCCTTCAAAGAGAAAAACCTAGCACGGAGGAAATTATGTATTTGTGTGAGAGAGTGCAAAGTAGAGGTGTGGACTATATATCAGGTTGATATTTAAGTCAATAAAAATGCCAGTGTAGCTGAAAAGTATCTACTTCGGATGAGCATAAATCAGGAAAGGGGCAGCCATTCTCTCTTCTGTTTTCTCCTTATTGTTAACACTGTTAAGAAAGGAAGAGACTGAAAGAGTATAACAGATACTTAAAATCTCAACATGCTGTCAGCTACTATCTGTTCCCAGAAGCCTCACATAGATCCTAAAACTAGCTCCTCAGTCAGTGGAAGCTTAATCTTAGCAGGTCAGCATCATTACATATGTATCTGTACTGGTCACTTAATTACCTTCCTCTTGATCTGTATTTTTTTTTTTTTTAATGGCATATACCAAAAAAAAAAAAAAATTCACTGCCATCGAGTTGGATTTGACTCACAGCGACCCCTCCTTGGGTTTCCGAGGTGGTATCACTATGGAAATAGATTGCCCATAGTCCATATAAATATGAAGACCCTATGGCCATCTAAGGTGGTGTAGTGCATAAGGCATTTGACTGCTAAACAGATGGCTGGTGGTTCAAACCCACCAGCCACTCCTCAGAATGAAGATTGGGCAATCCACTTCTATAGTGATACCACCTCAGAAACCCAAGGAGGGGTGGCTATGAATTGGATTCGATTGACAGCAGTGAGTTTGGTTTTTGGTTTTTATGGTCATCTAAGGAGCCCTGGTGACATAGTGGTTAAGTGCTTGACTGCTAACCCAGAAGTCAGCATTTCAAACCCACCAGCAGCTCTGTGAGAGAAAGATATAGCAGTCTACTTCCATAAAGATTACAACATTGGAAACACTATGGGACAGTTCTTCTCTGTCCTATAAGGCTGCTATGAGTCGGAATTGACTCAGTGGCAATGAGTCACCAATAGTTATGGTCATCTACATCTGAAAATGCCAAGCACTGTAGAGTGAGTTAACAGTAATACTGTCTGCTGAAGCTTGGATTACTCCTAAGTCACAGCAATAGAAGCAGTGGTGGTTCAGTGGTAGAATTCTTGCTTTCCATGCAGGAAGCCTGGGTTCAATTCCCAGCCAGTGCACCTCAAGCGCAGCTACCTCCTGTCTGTCATTGTAGGCTTGCATGTTATAATGAATATGTTTCTGCAGAGCTTCCAGATTAAGATGGACTAGGGAAAAAGGCCTGGCAATCTACTTCCTAAAATCAGCTAGTGATACCTATGAATCACAACATTCATATCTATAACCAGTTATGACAATAGCACAGAACTGGGCAGCATTTTCTGCATTTTCTTCCAGGGTGTCACCATAAGCCAGGGGCCAACTCAAAACAGCAGTTAACAACAACATAGAGTGTGTCAGAGGCCAAGTACTGGTGATAGTTGTGTCCTAAAGAGCTGACTAATGCCCCAGACCTGGCTAATGCTTAACCTTTTTAGACTACTCATCTACCAGCTCATGATGGCAGACAGTACGAAAAGTAAGTTACATGATTGCAAGGTGATAGTTTTACAGTTTAGGATGAATATCCTTACATAGTTTAAGGAGCTGTGGTGGTGCAGTGTGTAAGACATTCGACTGCTCGCCAAAAGATAGGTGGTTTAAACTCACCAGCCTCTCCACGGGAGAAAGATGAGGCAGTCTGCTTCCATAAAGACTTACAGCTTTGGAAGCCTTATGGATTAGTTCTACTCTGTCCTATAGGGTCGCTATGAGTCAGAATATTTTAGTTATTTAGAGTTAACCATATGTCAGGTACCATAGTAAATACTGGGCTTCCAGAGATGACTAAGACACAATTCCTGCTTATGTAGAGCCGACAAACTAGGGGGAGAGGCAAGTAAATTGAACATTCACCAAACACTTGTCCTACTTATGGAGGCACAGAAAAGGCACATGGAAGGAGACATCCAGGCCTGCCTGAGAAGATCAGAGAGTGCTTTTCTGAGGAGTTAACACACCTTCAACTGAAGGATGAGCAGAATTTTGCTAGGCAGCCAAAGCAAGAAATGGCATTTTAGCCCAGCAGTGAATTATTAGAGAGAATGTGACATGTTCAAAGAATGGCAAACAATTTTTATTTACATTTGGATGGGGTTAGCAAGCAATAGAAAAATGATGAAAAATGATAATATTTCAAACAATGGAAGGTATCACAAAAAATGAGATGAAGTCACATTTGTCACAAACTGTCCAGTACTACAAAGGAAGCAGTTTTCTTTCCTGAAAAATTTTCAAATTCTGACTTCACTGCTATTGCCACTGACAT